AGGGGGGAGAGACAGGCAGAAAGAAAAAGGAGAGAGAAAGGAAGGAAGAGAGAGAGAGAAAGAAAGACGAATTACATAACAAGATGATTCCTCTAGGGCTGCAGCACAGATCAGAGTCCGTTACGTAAGCTCAGCACGGAAAAGCCGTGGACCTGTGTGAAAAGCTGCGGCTGTCCCGGAGGGCGAGGGAGGTGACACTTCATGTTGCAGGACGAGTCTAGCAGCCGGGCGTGGTGCTGTTCCGTGGTCGTGGGGCTGCTCCCGAAGGGGGACCCTCTTGGATGGGCGCGGTGGGACACTGGAACCGGCCCTGTCCGCGGCTACCGGGGAGCCCGCCCCCTGCGGGGCGCAGCGCCTCCTGGTGGCCAAGTGGGGGACTAGCAGTCAGGGAGTCAGCGTTCTCCGCGGCGCGTGTCTGAGGTCTACAAAAGAACATTAAAACCAAACAAACAAGTAAACCCCGACCTCATAGAGATAATCCTTAGAAAAGCAGGCATAGTGGCCGTTGAGTCCCTGTAATCCCAGCACTCTGAAGGCTGAGGCGGGAGTATTGCCACGAGTTCAAGGCCAGCCTGGACTACACAGTGAGACTCTGTCTCAAGAAAAAAATTAAAAGTGAAGGAGAAATAGTGTATGAAGCGAGGGCTTCCGCAGGGGAGGGTGGCATAGAACTCAAATGCACTTGATGTCACCGGACGGGACGCTTTCTTTGTGCAGTTCTGGGGACTGAACCCCAGAGCCTTCACAGTGAGCTAAAGCCCCAGCCTCTTGCTTTTTGTCTTGCTAAATTGCCCAGGCTGGGCTCAAACTTGTGACTCTCCTGCCTCAGTTCCCCAGAGGGCTGGGATGACGGGCCTGCGCCACCAGGCCCACTGCTGACCCTCTCTCTCTTGACACCTCTGCCTTTCGTCTTTGTCAAAGGTGTCCCCAGGGCAGCAGGCTGAGGATGATCCAGAAGGCAGCCGTGCCTCTGAGTAAGTACAGGGACGGGGACACGGCCAGTCAGAGGCCTCAGGCTCCCAGGCCTTGCTTCTTGGTCCTCAGTGCTCTGGGGAAAGATTCCAGCGCAGACACCGGGGCCAGGCCAAGCCCGGGAGTTTGATTCACTGTAAAGCAGATGTAAGGCTTCCATCGAGAGGGCAGGTGGTGCCCAAGACACCACCCAGTGTCCATAGCCAGGGTGCAGGAATTGGGGCGACCCTGTGCAGAGACATCTTCATTTCCTCCTGGAGGTCACTTAGGGATCGAGGGCTGGGATGTAGCTCAGTGGCGCTGTGCCTGTTTGGCAAGCGATAGGTCCTGAGTTCAATTTCCAGTACCAAAAAAAAAAAGGTATATCGAGCTCTCAAAAGTATCTTCCTAAACCAGGCATGCGACTGTAATCCCAGCACTCAGGAGGTGAACCTCCTGCCTCAGTTTGGAACTTTTCTCAAGGCCTCAATTCGGTCTCCAGGTGCCACTCTGCATAGAGCTCCATCCCTCCTGCCCCACCCTGCCCTAGCTAATTCCTTCTGCAGCACTCTGGGAGGCTGAAGCAGGAGGGTCACAGGTTAGAGCTCAGCCTGGACAATGTAGTGATTAGCAAGATCCTGTTTCAAAATGAAAAATAAAAATAGGGCTGGGGCTGGGTTTGGTGGTCCATGCCTATAATCCCGGCACTTGGGAGACTGAGGCAGGAGGATCTCTGAGAGCTCAAGGCCAGCCTGAAGTACATATCCAGACCCTGTCTCCAAAAAAGAAAAAAGTTTGGGGACATAGATTGGTTTAGGTTCCATCCCAGTACCAAAACACAAACAAAAAAACCTCAGATAAACAGCAGACAGCTATAGGATAAAGTCAACACAGCATGTCTGCTTTTTTTCTTTTAAAAAAAAAACGCTTTTGTTTTTACACTTGTTGAGTCTCTGGTTTCAACTTCTGTGTATACTTGAAGTCTTTCATAATAAAATAATGGAGAAAACCCTTCCAAGTCAGGTCCCAGTATTCCCCCTTCTCCTGAGACGCCTCCCCTCCCCTTGGTCGCTCCCCTGCACGCCCCCTGGCCATGGAGTTTAATACAGACTTGCTCTCTGGCTGGCTGTCTCCCCCAAGGTCTACACCCTGTCCTGGGGAGGGACTCAGAAGCCACAGACTGGAGCCAGCAGCCAGGGAATTCTGGGTCCTGGGGCACCGAAGTGTGCAATCTGGGGAGGCGGGGCTGGAAGCCGGCGGTGGGGAATTCTAGATGCTGTGTGTATACTAGCTGTGGCAGGTGCCCAGAAGGAGAGGGCCCTTCCCATGTTCCCAGTGGGAACAGGAGGGAGAATTTGCCCATGGTCGGAGAAATTCTAGAAAATTCTCTTGAACTCACTTTGTAGCCCAGGCTGGCCTCAAACTCTTGAGAGATCTCCTGCCTCAGCCTCCTGAGTGCTGGGGTGACAGGCGTGCACCACCACACCTGCCCAGTGTGGGTTTTCAGATGGTCACCACAGATGTGGCATTTGCCAGTCGGATGCCGGCATGACCGTGACATCTCGCCTGCGTCCCTGTTTCTCGCCTGCAGAGCCCCAGGTGACAGCCCCAAGCGGGTGGCAAGGCGGTCGTCCATCTCCTATGACCAGGCGGAGGAGGAGCTGATGGCCAGCATCGAGCGGGAGTATGGCTGCTGAGGCCGCAGGCGGTGGCTGCCCCGGGTCTTGTGACCCCAGCCAGGGCTGGGTGGAGTGAAGCCACCTCGAGAGACTCGGATTGGCCTGTGCCGGTTTGCACCTGTGCAGGTGCTGCTGGCGGTCCATGCGGGCCCCGGGATAGCACATGGCCCCTCCAGGCCGCCCAGGAGCCAGGGACCTTCTTCTGCAACCACTGTCCAGGGACACGGGCTCCCCCAGACTGGGATTTCAGGTGTCTTGGGCCCTGCACACAGCAGCTTTTGCTGAGGTCAGAGCCGGCTGGGGCAGAGCTGTGGGGGGACCCCGGCCAGCACAGCCTCAGGACAGCCTGTGGCCAGATGTCCCCGCCGGGGACCCTTGGCACTCAGGAGCAGACAGGTGTGCCCCGAACTTCATGACTGTGAGCAGCCCGGAGTGCTTTGGTTGGAGCTCCCAGCACTCCTAGGGCCCAATCTCTGGTTTCTTATTGCATAAACCTTTTGCCTTTTACTAAGCCCAAAGCACTCCTTTGATAGAAAGATGAAAGCCACTGCTATTTTAATGATAATAGCACTTACTTTAAAAGAAGTTGAATTTTTATTTCTTAAGCCAGGCATGGTGGTACATGCCTGTGATCCCAGCACTCAGGAGGCTGAGGCAGGAGGATCGCCCCAGGTTTTGAGGCCAGCCTGGGCTATACAGTGAGTTCAAGCCTAGACTGGGCTATACAGCAAGACCATGGCCCCAAAACAACATAATAAATAAAAAATCAAAATTTTATTTCTTACCTCCAGATGAATCAGGCTTCGAACTCACTGATATCAATGTTTATGATTTGACGTCATGGCTTTGTTAAAACAGGACACTTTGGCTGGCTTCCGGTGGGACCCTCATACAGCCTTTCATGGAATCAGTGTCGGGAGAAGAGAAAATCTCCCTGAGTGGTCACCATGTATAATGTCGGAGTGTGCTTCCTACTGGGGAGCAGCATCCCCACTGTTCTCAGAGGTTTTGTTTTTGTTTTTTTCTTTTTTTGTGGCAAGGGACTGAGGCCAGGGCCTTTTCGCTGAGCTACATCCCTTTTTATTTGGGGGAACAAAATGGCACTAAATTGTCCAGCCTGGGCTCTTGAATCTGTGATTCTCCTGCCTCAGCCTCCCAGAGTGCTGGGATTATTAGGTGTGTGCCACCACACCCAACTAAAATAATCTGATTCCCTTTCAGTGACTAAAGCCCAAGTTACAGAAATGGCTTGAAATGGCTGTGGTTTCTTTCATATAATTCTTTTTTTTCCCCTCCCTGTTTTTCGTGGTTGTTTTTATGAGACAGGGTCTCACTGTGTAACCCGGTCTGCCTAGAAATCGAAGTGATCCTCCTGCCTCAGCCTCCTGAGTGCTGGGATCACAGGTGCACACCACCACACCCAGCTTCCCTTGTAAAAATTTCCCAGTCCACTTGCCTTGCAAGCGCAAGGTCCCAAGTTTAATCCCTGGTACAAAAAAGTTTTTTTTCCCCCAGAAAATACAGAGGGTTCACCTCATGCCAACTTCTGTAGCATGGGGTGGAGGTAGCCAGGCTGGGCAGAGCTGGATACCAGGTGTGGAGGCAGGGCCACAGCACTGCACAGGGGTCACCTGCGACCGCATGGAACCCTACTTTAGCAGCCATCCTCCAGGGGGCGCCATGGAGCCTCAACTCCAGCTCTGGTGACAGTGACCCAGGAAACTCGGTGGTAAGGGTCCCCTCTGGTGCAGCCAGGCTGCCTGCACCGTGCTGCACTCCCACGTGGTCTTGGAGGGAGCCCTGCACCATCACATCCCCTCCACCTCCCTGCCTGGTCCTGGGGAGGCCCTGTGCATTCCCACAGCGTGGTGGGGCTGTTCCTTGCCTATGGGCAGCGGTCTCAGGGGTGCAGTTGGGAGGGGTCCATCCTTCAGGGAGACAACGCTGTTGCTCTGGGACACCAAGACTACAAACACCAGCTCTCAAGTCCTCCATCCCACCAGCAGGAACCCGGTACTTTTCCTACAGGGGCTTTATTACATCAGCATTCCTGCAGCTGGGACACGGCCAACAGGACAGGGTGGGTCTGGCTTGCAGTCTCAGGGGACGCAGTCCATGGGCGGCTGCTCCAAGGCAGGAGCTTCATGGCGGAAGGGTGTAGGGGAGCAGAGAAGGGGAGCAGAGCCAGAGAGGAAGTGGACAGGAGCCAAGTATGGTACCCAGGGGCACCCATCCCAAAGCAGGTCAAGGAGACCCTGCACCCTCACTGCTGGATTCCTGAGGCTTCTGGAAGAGGGGCCTGGGGTCACCATCACCTAAGCAGGGTAGCCGGAGTCTTGGGGGATTCGGGGTACACCCCCCTCCCTGGAGCTGTGGCAGGGGCATCCCACAGAAAAACTGCCTGGGCACCTGGTGTCCCACACACAGGCCCGGGTTGGACTCAGCCACCTGGTGCTCACACTTTGTGCGCCTTCTGCTCTCTCCAAGAGTTCTATTCTCTCGTTTTGTTTGTTTTTTTGAGCCAGAGTCTCAATATATAGTTCAGGCTGGCCTCAAACTCACAGCGATCCTCCTGCCTCAGCTTCCCAAGTGCTAAACTCTTGTCAAGCTGACTCTTCTTTTATTTCCTGGGGGGGGGTCAAGCATTAGTGGAAGAGCAAGACGTGACTGAGCCTGGATTCACTTACCTGAGAGCACTGGCGCAAGCCCAGGCACCCTTCCGGGACCTCCCAGCGCAGGCTTAGGGACTCAGGATGAATCTGGGAATCGGCTGGAGGGGAAGAGGTGGGAAGAGGGGAGCAGGTTCAGGGACAGAGGGCGGCACCTGGGCTGCTGTGGCAGGTGCTGGGGTCCAGCGGGAGCCCCCTCAGGGCGCACTCTGCAGCCACTGTAGGGCTGGCAGTGGAGGATTCAGCGGCCAAGGCTGCGCGGTTTGTGGTCCTCTTCCCTCCTTCCACAGGTGTGGTCCCAGACACCCCACTATCCCCCCAAAGCAACACGGCTGCACAGGGACTCTGCCTGAGTGGGCACAGCCGAAGGAGCCAGCAGGCAGGGCCAGGCCGGCTTTAGAGCCCTGCGGGCGTCACGTTTCCTCTGCAAGCAATGGAACATCCTCTGTGGGCACTGTGGGCGCCAGGCACAGGCCTGACTTTTCTTTGTTGCTCTTGTGTTGCTGGAGATCAAACCGAGGGCCTCCATGCTGAGCTGGATCCCCAGCCCATTTTTTTTTTTTTATTATTTTAGTTGCCCAGCTGGGCTCAAACTCTCAACCCTCCTGCCTCAGCCTCCCAGGTGCTGGGACCAGAGATGGTGGACCTGGTTTTCCAGGTGGCCACAGGGGCTGCAGAGCAAAATAGCAGAAACAAGGGCCAGCAATGGTACAGGTGACGCGATGGGAGCCTGGGCTGGTGACAGCGGATGGGGAGCAGGGCTGACACAGCGTGCAAGGAGCCAGGGTTTGCAAGAGCGGGACATGGAGCGAGAGGGCGCAGTGCAAGGTCTCAGCCAGGAACAGCAGGATGCTGGAGTCAAGTGCAGCACAGCAACTGTGGGGAGGACTCAGCCTGTGAATCTGAGGTGATGGTCTGACAATGTCCAGAGGATAGTCAGGGAAGCCAGCGGTGGTGATGCATGCGTGTAACACCAGCCTTTGGGAAGCTGAAGCAGGAGGATTGCAAGCTGCAGCCGTGCTTGGATTATACAGTAAGACCCTGTCTCAGGCTGGGGGTTTAGCTCAGTGATGCTGCCGCCTGCCTTGCAAGCACAAGGTCCCAGGTTCAATCCCCAGTACCAAAAAACAAAACAAAACAAAACAAAACAAAAGACACTGTCTCAAAGAAAGGACAGAAAAAAAGCACCTAAGGGTGTTTTCAATTGAGATTTTTAAAAATCTAAGTGACACGCTGGGAGTAGATCCTCAGGAAGCCCAGCAGTGTGAGGACAGAGCCCAGGCCCCAGCAGTGAGATGTCAGGAGCTGAGGGCCCAGCAATGGTGCTGCCTTGTGTGGGGTGGGGGCAGGGCCCGGGCCAAGGTCAGAAGCCCCCAACATCTGGCGACACGACAGGAGCCCCTCCTGGGTGCTAGGTACTCCAGGGGCAGCAGAGAGGAAGACAGCTCAACATATGTGTTTCCGTGGCTCTGGGGACTGGGCCCAGGGCTTTCACACTGAGCTACAGCCCAGCCCTCACTTTTGTTTTCTTTGGAGACAAGGGCTCACTGTGTAGGTTGAGACTGACCCGGAACTCACTATGTAGTCCAGGCTGGTCTCGAACTCAGTGATCCTCCTGCCTCAGCTGGGATTACAGGCCTGTGCCACCATACCTGGCTCCAGCCTTCATTTTTTATCCCAAGATAGGGTCTCATTATTCACTAAGCTACCCAGGCTGGGCTGGGCCACGCCATCCTCCTGCCTCAGCCTCCCAAAGTGCTAAGACTACGTAAGTGGGTGGCCTCAAGGACCTCTTCATGTCCCCCAGCACAGGCAGGGATGAGTCCCGCAGCAGCAGGGCCATCACACTCAGACCAGAGCCCACTGCCCTGTAGCCCGCAGAGAAGCCGCTGTCCCCCAAGGACACACTCGCAAGGGACATAGAGAAAGGTGAGTTCCAGGAAATGGGCAGAGTCGGGTCAGTCTGGAGTCACCGACCGGAAGAGGTGAAATGACACAGAACACAAGTCCAGTTTGCAAATCAATAACGTTTTATGATTTAAAGAAAAAAGTGACATTACATATACTCATTTAAATAATAAGGCGCAGTCTATCACATAAAACATAATTATGAAACATTTTAAATTTTATGACTGAAACTACTTTAAAGGCTCAAAATCAAAAAGATCAAGCAAACCTGCTGGGGATAAAGTGCACGGGACCCCCACACGCCACCCAGGGGAAGCATCACCGGGAGTAGCCCTGAGGTCTGGGTCTTCTCTCCAGTTCAGATGGGAACTGTTGGGCCGGGGACTTAGCTCAGTGCTTCCACTGCCTGCCTTGCAAGCGCAAGGACCCGAGTTCGACCCCCAGTAACAAAACAAAACAAAAAACAAAAAAAAAAGATGCGAACTGTTCTCCAGCCTTCCATCTTTTCCAACCTACAATCTTTCAACAGAGAAGGGGTGGTCTCAGAGTGTCCCTCCATCACTCAGGAAGTGGAAGCTTAAATTCTGACAATTTCAGACCCATTTATTCTTAGAAACCACACTGTGGAGAGCAAAGCCAACACACAGCAGAGCCCTCAGGCCACTGTCTCCCACCACAACGCCACATCAGTGTAGAGTACATGAAGCCACCCGGCTCTGAGCCGGGGGTGACACTGGGCAGCCAGTGCCCACACCACCTCGGACAAGGGGAGGCAGCGGGGACATTCGCGCTCTCCACACGACAATCCTCCAAAGGTCTAGGAACAGGCGACTGTCCTGGGTATGGAAACCTCACATGCGCACGCACACACACACACACACACACACACACACACACACGAAAAGCAGCTGATACGAGAGGGCATCTCACTGGGCATCAAGTACAAACACTGAATGGGACGACGGTCGTGGCAGACTGCAAAGCCCTGAACACAAGACCTATGCTTAGTTAATTCCCCGACAGTTCACCCGCCCTCGCTGCAACAGGGGCTTCAGCGCAAAGCCAGCATCTGTACCACAGTGCACACGACAGTCTGCGGCCAGTGAAACAGTGCAGTTTTCCTGGCTTGCACTGCAGCGCTGCCTGGGCACGGGGGGCTGGGTTTGGCCGCCCCGCCTGCCACGCCTGCCTCCCCAGGGGACTGCAAGGAGCCCCCCCCACGGCCGGGTGCTCAGGACACGTCCTGACCACAAGCTCCCCAGCTCGGCCAGGAAAGGGGGTCCCACCCTAACCCGGCTCCCTGCTTCCCGCCCCACCATCCCACCCACGCCACGCTCCTTTCCAAGGGCTGCACCCACTGGAGCACGGGAAAGGCCACAGGGAGAGAGAGGGCCGCGAGCACGGACAGCAGTAGGCTGAGCAGTCGCCTTCAGAGCGCAGGCAACGACGCTCTGGGCCGCCTGGGGGCCTGGAGCTCCCCGCAGGACGGACTCCTTCCCTTCCCTTCCCCGGGCTTCCTGCTGGATTATGTTCCACGCTTACTAAAAGCAGGGTTGCTATAAAACTGGAAAGAAGGCTGAACGTGATCTAGCTAGAAACTGGTAATTTGAGCACCGTTATAAATATTTTTATAAAAAACAGTATAAAATTAGTACCCTGTCTTATTTCTACAAAACATGAGTAGAAAGGTTGTAAAAATCCAGATTTTGTAAACTTTACTGCCAAAATGGTTGTTTCAATGCTGGTGATTTAGATGATCAATTTTTCCCCATTTCCTTAAACAAAAAGAAACCTGTGAAACTGCAAAGGATAGAACAGGGTCCCAAACAGAAAGCAGGGAACGGCCGGGCACGGCTCAGGGCGCGGCG